ATCTGGAAATTGGGCATGTTCACTGGATGAGTAGAACTATGAAGAGCCCTCAGACCGAGCCCTGAATTTTACTGAAGCTTCAGAAAGGACTCGCTATTGCTATTGTTGGCTTCAGGAGTATGGATCTGACTCAGGTACTAAGAGGAAGTGCTGGGGGCCAGCAGGTCGCATGTAACAGAAATGAGATGATCTGATTTGTGAGACGCGCTGCATATCTAGGAAAGCAGCCCAGAGGAAGCCAGGGCAACGGGAAACATGGCTGCTCTCTCACTACCCAGTGCAGACAGCGCACACTGATGTCACTTTTGGGCCATCCGCCAACTCCTCAGAAGTTGACCAGCCCTTATTTACATAATACTTCCCAGGGCAGCTGTGAAGGTCTTAAAGGAAGTGAAAAGTAGAACCTCTGAGGAACACAGTCTGGGACTGGACATGGAGTCTGTATGGCGAACAGAGGCTGAGGTGACATGGCTAAGTATAAGTTGTGTGGGTTTGTCTGTTTCTCTCTTTTTCTTTCCTCTCCAAGTTCCACTCCCCCCTCCCCCAGTAACAAGCAAGAATGTAACAAGAATGCAGAGAATCAGGGAGTGGATTATCCAGGAAAAGCTGTGGGAGTTAGGAAAGCCTTCTTAGTAGTATTTTTTTCCTATTCATATCAGCAGGGCTTACTGAACAGCACTGTGTGGCAGGTTCTGAGCTAAGTCTGTGAAAAATAAGACAAAAAGACACTGTGTGTCTCTGACTGTATTCCAATGACCATTCAGGACCATCAAGGAATCCATTTATAAGGCTCTTTTCTTGTCCTATGATCAAATGAAGAAGCTTTCTGGAGTAAAGGTACAAGGTTGATAAGAGCATCAGAGAGAGAGGACAGAGGTGTAGCCCTGTGTGAAAGCTAATAGAGAGGGAGGAGGGGGCGTGGGTGATCTGGAGGCGGGAATGGCAAGGAGCGCCATCCACAGAGGCGCACCAGGACCCAGCTGTCTTTGTAGATTGGGTACTAGAAATAGCTCAGTGCTCTTAGGATGTAAGGCTGGAAAGAACAGGATATGACAGATGAGATTAATCTCTTCGCAGGTCTGAAGGACAGCACCAGCTTCCCCTGGAGATGAGGAAGTTCCACCCGTGTAAGACAGAGATATGGCATAGTCAGATTTGTTTGAAATTCATGGAGAACACGGTTAGAGGTAGAGAGTGTTAGTAAGGAGTGGGGATCGCTGCATGTAAGAAGAGCAGCTTGAGCTGACGGGAATGCGTTTCTCACACAGCAAAGGGGTGGTGACGGGTGGTCAGGGCCTGGCAGATGCTCTGCTCTCTGCATGTTTCATTCTCACAGTGCCCATGCTGGTTGTTGAGCTCAACACGTTACCCCTGTGTTTGAGGCTACAAGAATGAGGAAAGAGTCCACGGTTCCTTCATCATCAACTATAATTGAGACCAACAGACTCTCAGCAGATTTTTGGCATTTAGGTAGATACGATCCCAGATGGCCTCCTCTGTCTGTAAGAGAAGCTAAGCAAGCAATAATTCTCCCTCCATGAAAGGCGTGTATGCGGGAAGTTGGAAATGAGCAATGAGCAAGTCAAGCTGCCATTTCTTCCACCAAAGTTCGCAAGTGAGAGACGGTGAGGACCTGCAGCCACACAATGGCAACAAAAAAGGGACGCTACTGCCTTTGCAGGAAACTTCAGAGATTCTGATCGGTTCTTCTCGGTGTGGGGTCATGAGTCATCCATCTCTGGGGAAGCTCAGCAAAGGGTTAGATGTAAGTTCAAAACCAACGGAAGTCTCAGGGCTTGGTCTGAGACTATGGCTGAGAGGAGGAGCCATTAGAAGAGTCTGGACACCAAGGCTGGCATGCAGAGAGAAGAGCAGGGGGCACCATGGTGACACTCGTTTAGACAGTGGAGGCAGAAGATGAAAACCTTCAGGGAGGCTCTACAAGAAGATGGCCAGAAAAGTCAAGGGAACGAAGAATTTCCAGAAAGAGGTCCCAAAACGGTCAGAAATACCAAAGAGGTCCTATAAGGCAGAGGACTGGAAAATGCCTGCAGGATCTGACCATACGATTTCCTAGTTGGTCTTGATCTGAGCGGTCGATTGGTGAAGATGGGGCAATCCTTTACCTGTAGTGAAGGAGGGCAGCAGGCAAGTTCAGATTCCTTCTTAGTGGAGGCTCTAGAAGTTGAGAGAAATAAAACCGGGCGATGGGAAGTAGAGGAAGAAATTAATGGCTTGGCTGGACTGTATTTAGAGGTTAGGAGAAGCCAACAGAAAGGGAAGGGATGAGGACACAGGAGTCTCTAAAACGCTAGAGGAAAGGCATGCAGGCCTCTCCCCTTATCTGTTCAACCAACTGCAGCCCCAAAACTTTCCAGAAGTAAACAATGCGTAGGTTTCTAATACGTCTTACTAAAGTATATTGTTATAATTGTTCTACTTTGTCATTGTTAATATTTTAGGATTTACTCTTACTATTACTTTTAATTACATGTAGGTGTCTGTGTCTGTATGTCTCTGGTCTCCTGACTACACATAGAGCATGCTCATCCGTCTATGCATGGAACATGCTCTTGAGTACTTGTATCTGTCTGCACACTGAGGAGCAAATGTGTTTTCATTTTCCTGTTCAAAATAACAGGAAGTATCATTCTTGAAGTCTTCCTATTCATAACAGAAATGTAACGAAAAAACACAAAACAGCAACAAAAACCAGACCTGCAGAAAGTCGCTAGCGATGTATTGGGGAGGCATGGTGTTTGGTACCACACCTCACGAGGTGGATAAAATAATCTCCACTCTCAAACAGTATTCAGTCTACCGTAAGAACCCAACACAAGCTGGCGGTGGTGCCGCACGCCTTTAATCCCAGCACTCGGGAGGCAGAGACAGAGGCAGGTGGATCTCTGTGAGTTCGAGACCAGCCTGGTCTACAGAGTGAGTTCCAGGACAGCCTCCAAAGCCACAGAGAAACCCTGTCTCGAAAAACCAAAAAAACAAAACAAAAAAAAAAAAAAAAAACAAACAAACAAACCAACACAGGAGGGCTAAATACTTCAACAAGAGTCCTTTATAGCTTCAGCTTGAAGGGGCCTCTGCCTCTTCAGTCAGCTGGCAGGTCATGGAAGTTCTACCCCTGCAAAGGGAGCTGTGGGCACAAGAGAAGTGTTTCTTCCCTCTTCACTCAGACTATACCCAAACAGCTAGGACAGCTTTTCTTTTCCCCAAGACACAAAGTGACATTTTTTAAGAAAAGAAGCCTCTCTTTTGGTGCCAGACTTGTTTAAAAATAAAGTAGAAGGTCTAAGGAATGTCTGTTTAAGCACAGCTGTCCAAAGCCTCATATTTGAAGAATTCAGAAAAACAGGGCTGTTCCTTCCAGCCAGTTCTCTCCTGGACCCACTCCTTGGTACTCAGATTGCATCGGACACAAAGCTAGTGGTGCTATCTTTAGTTTCAAAGGCCAGGTCTGCCTATTTTGCTGGTGAATGCATGGAATGTTACAGCCTTGTATTTAAGCTCTGTTTTCTGAACCTGATCATGGCCATGAGCTTGTAGGGTCAAGGACTACGTCCTGAGAGCCTTCGTGATCTTACCTGCCATGGCAAGCTTGCAGGAATATCGGATGAATGAAAGAATGCAGAGAACTGGGGAGCAGTGGCAGGTGGGTTGCTAAGCAGCCTGGTAAAGAGGATTACAAACGAGCCACAATTAGTAGACAAGGTGGCAGAGAGGAAACAAAGTTCTGAGTCGGCAGACCTAGGTCCTAGTCCCATGATGCCTTGCTTGACTTCACCTGCTCAACAAACACTTCTTGGCATCCATGGCAAGCTCTGACAAAATTCCTGCTCCCAAAGCACACTGATGATGGCTGAGGGGATCTAAGAGGGATGTGTGGGAGGAGATACCACCATGGTAAGCTAGGGCAGGTGCTAAGCAAGACAGGGCTTCTAATCAGGCTGTGTTTTCCAGGAATTTTTCTTGAAGGATGCAAAGTGTTTAATGACTGATTGGGAGAACTCACCATAGGAAAGGGGGCTAGCATGTGATTATTCTGCATCAGGAAATACAGGAGGTGACACTTGAGAGGTGATGGTAATAGCCAGGGATGAAGTAAGAGAAGTAAGCTACTTTGCAAAGTAAAAATGCCATTGCATCCAAATGATTGGAAGTTGAGGGTAGACGCTTAGGGGTTAGACAAAACTGGGTTCAAGTCTACACTCTGATACACACTGGTCATGAGATAATAATCACTGTTTAAACCAACTCTCCAAGCTTAGTTTCCTTAGCACAGTGTCCATTCGATTCTGCTATCCATTGCTGTGCAGCAACCCTTCTTAAATGTAATGGTTTAAGACAGCATATATTTAGTAAGTCTCAAGGTTCTTATGGGTCAGGAATCTGGGTCATCTTAACAGAGGCCTCTGCGTCAGGGTCTCTCACAAGGCTGCATCCGAAGTCAGTCAGGGCTGTGGCTGTCAGCAGAATTTAGTTTTTCGTTGGCTGGTGGCCAGAGGCTGCCAGTTCTTTGCTGTGTTGCCTTCTGAATACAATACCTGGCTTCCTCATAATCAGTGGAGACTGGTGTTGGCTGGCAAGACAGAAGGGTCACGTAAGTGAATTCTCATCACTTCGGCTGTGTTCTGTTGGTTAAAATGCACAGGCTAGCCCACTGTTGGGGGGGATTATACAAAGGAGTGAATACTACAGGGTCAGCATGTGGGGGGATTCCTTCTTGGAGTTCGCCTCACCCCTAATTTGTAGGACAGACCACCAATCAGTGTTAGCAGTTGTTATGCTGAACTGAGAGAATCTATGGGGGGAGGGGGATGGGAAAGTAACTGAAGGTGACCTTGGACAAGTGAAATCACCTCAGTCTTTGTCCTCAGCAAAATGTAAATACTTGGTCCCAGAAAAAAACATACCCCTCTCCAGCTTGGGGAAACAAATTGCTTTTGGGTCTTTTTTGTTGTTGTTGTGTCCGCTGTCTTAAAGGGTTTTTAGTATTTGGCTCCTTGGGTTTTAAAGAACTACATTGCTGGGATAAACACAAACCAAGAGCTGTTAGAGCCCCTTAAAGTATTTCTAAGCCCCGACCCTTTTCTCTTTTAAACTACCTTTGCTTTGGGGGGGCGGGCAGAGCTGAGAGAAAACAGACTAAGTGGGAAATTTCAAGCTCCTGATAATAAACTGGTAATAAAATCTCATCCGGCTCCCGAGGGTTCGCAGAGGAGATGTTTATGGTGGAGGGGGTTCCCCACACCAGCGCAGCTGCTTTCTAGGTTGAGAGGTTTCTAGTCCTGCAGGGCAGCTCAGGTTACCTACTCTGTGGCCTCCCGCTAGGACAATTCCTATCCTGGCAGGCTTGGGGGGCGGGGGCACTTGATCAGCCCGCCCTGGCGCCTGGCCGCCCCACTCCAGGCTCCAATTCGAAGAGATTCGTGGGATTCACCGTCTGCCCTGGGGCGGGTTTCCCCAGGGAAGGCAAACAACTAGGGAGGACATTTCAAAGGGTGGCAGAGTCAGCCCAGCACTAGCCAGCACTCGGAGGGAGCTAGGGAGTCAGCCTTTCACAAGCTGCTTCTCAGCAGGAAGTTTGGGTGGGGCGGAGCAGTCCCGAGATGGAGACAAAGCTCCTTTGAATCTTTATCCAGGGGCCTGGCCGCTAACGAGAGGGGTGACGCGGACCCTAGGGCAGGGCACCAACCCCAGTGTGTAACCCCATCACCCTCTCTCGCTCCGCCAGCCCAGCGCGCACAGTCGCTGCAGCCTTCAGACGCACGCACGCCGGGGGCCCGCCGGGGCGTGAGGTCACCTCCTGCAGCGTGGCAGCCCCTATAGGAGGGTGGGGGGGATAGCCTAGGAGCAACGGGCCAGCAGCCTCACCTTCCCAGCCCCGCCGCTCCAGCGAACTACCGCAGTCTTAGAAAACTTAATGAGAACCAGATGTGGTGGCCGATGGCGAACTTTCTCAGAGTTGCTGATTGGTCAGTGTCCAAGAGCCGTAGCCAATCGGCGCGCTGGGCGGGCACGCAGTGCGGACTAGAGGTCCAGGTTGGAGATCAGCAGGCAGTGTGGCCCGCAGAGAAGCGCTGACTGAAGGGTTAAGGCCGGGAGAGGCGAGCATGTCGCGGGACCCGACAGCAGGGCGGCTAACGCCGCTGTGGCTGTGGCTGCTGCTGCCGCGAGTCGGGGCTCTGCGTCCTGATGAGCTCTTCCCGTACGGAGAGTCGCAGGGAGACCAGCTGCTGCCGCAGGGCGACGACGAAAGCTCAGCAGCCGTGAGGCTGGCGATACCCTTACGCTTCTACGATGCCCAGTTCAGCGACCTCTACGTAAGTTTAGGACCTGGAGGTGCGCGGCTGGGTGAGGGTCTCGAAGCTTCTTCCCAGGGTGTCCTTGGAGTGGAACAACCTCTTTGCCTAGCTGTCGTCCCTCTGGGGACCAGGCTCTGCCACGGTGCTGCAGCTTCGTGAACCCTGCTGTGCAGGGATAAGGGTCATCTCTCAAGGGGGTGCAGAGACTGTACCTTCTACTTTGGCATCCTCGGCAGGAAGGAAGATGGGCCACGTTGAGGCCGCTGGGGCGTTTGCGTTTAGGGCGGTGGGAGGCTGTGCTCGTCGGTAGAGCTGTCTTCTCAAGGTCGGGGCGCCCAGTGCGTGTAGTAGTGGACGGGTTCGAGGGCGGCCGCAGCTGAGGGTCGCACTACGGTGGAGAGGTGGGGTAGGAACAGGACTGTCGCTGAAGTTGAGCTGGTTGTCCTGCAAGTGTCTCCTATCAGCGAGGAGAGGGCGACTTCTTGGCTCCAGCGGAGCTCCTTTCTCTCCGAGGGGCGGTAGGCGTGTGCGACTGGAGCGTGGTGGCTGCCCTTTGGGCTTGGGCGACCGCCACTCTTTCTTTCTCTATTCCTCTTTCTTATGCTTATTGGGGGGGGGCACGTGCCATCTCGTGCGTGTGAAGGTTAGAGAACAACCAGTTTTTTTCCCTTCCACCATGTGGATCCTGGTCCCCGAACTCAAGTCGTCAGGCTTGGAGGCGAGTGCCCTCACCCTCCTCGTGGTCCTTCCTGCAGGTGGGCACCAACGGCATCATCTCCACCCAGGATTTCCCCAGGGAGACTCAGTATGTGGATGATGATTTTCCTACCGACTTCCCAGCCATCGCCCCCTTCCTGGCTGACATCGACACTAGTCACGGCAGGGGCCGGATCCTGTACCGCGAGGACACCTCCCTGGCTGTGCTGGGTCTGGCGGCTCGCTACGTGCGCACAGGCTTCCCGCTGTCCGGGTCCAGCTTCACCCCCACCCACGCCTTCCTGGCCACCTGGGAGCACGTGGGCGCCTACGAGGAGGTCAGGCGCGGGGCTGCGCCCTCCGGGGAGGTGAGTGAGGGGTGCCCTGCCCCTGAGCAAATTAAAGGGGGATGGGTTGGATTTTGTGTGGGAACTAAGGCTTGGAGTTTCTCCCCCTGCCCACCCGTTGAACCGGATGAAACCAGTGCTTAGGCGGCTTGGGAGTGAAGTCTGTTGTTCTGTGCGTGTTCTGAGGGTCCATAATGTGGCTAAATCGGCAAAGAAAACTGCTTTAGTGAAATGATGGGCTGAGGTACACATACCAAAGACCCTGGGGATCTGAGGCATTTCACAGTTTATTTCTGGAGTCACCTGTAAGTACACAAATACTTAAAACATATGTTCATTGAAGGGAAAATTGGAAAATTCCGGAAATTAAAAAAGGAACAACCACCGTTAAACTTTTTTTTTTGGTATGAAGAGATCTAATTTTTTAGTTTGTTCGGGTTTTGGTTTTTTGTTTTGTTTTGTTTTCGAGACAGGGTTTCTCTGTGTAGCTCTGGCTGTCCTGGAACTTGTTCTGCAGACCACGATGGCCTCGAACTCGCAGAGATCTGCCTGCCTCTGCCTCCCGAGTGCTGAGATTAAAGTTGTGCGCCACCACCACCCGGCTAAACTTCCGGCTATCTCTTGGGAATATCAGTGTTGCCATTAACAATAGTGGGTCCTCAGTGTGCATATTGATTGCCGCTTAAGTGCTTTTTCTGCCGGGTAGTATGTACTCAGTCATTGTATTTATGTAGCCTTTATAGTGACTGTAAGGTCTCACCCAATGCATTTACCACAGTTCCCAGTGTGGTTTCCACGTTTTTATTATAATTAATACTATGGGGTGCGTTTTAACTTCTTTATTGTTCATGTCTGTGTGTCTCTGTGTCTGCTGGGGGCAGTAGGGCCAGCAGACCATGGACTCCCTGAAGCTGGAGTTACAGCCAGTGTTAGCTGCTGACTGACGTGGGTGCAGGGATTTGAACTAGCACCCTGGAAGGACAAGTGCTCTCCAGCCACCTCTCCAGCCCCATGAAACACCGTCTTAAGAGTCAAATCACTTCCAAGCCTTATCTGAAGTCGCAGGAAGGGGCAGAAAGCTTACACTTTTTAATAAGCTCTTTGTAGCTTTTACCACGTTGCCCTTGAGGTAACAGTGTGCATTCTTCCGCTCTGCAGGAGGCTGTGTTCTACAGGAGGTGGTTCTCACAGGAGAAACCACCAACAGCTCTGCCCCAGGCTTGGGTCTGGCAACATGGAATTTGCCATGGTTGGGGTCAGGGTCCTGGTGTAGGTAGAGACAGAGTCCTCCTGTGACATTCCACCTGGGTGTAAAGTGGCATAGACCAGGAGCAAAGCCATGTTTACTTTAACTCCTAGTGTTTCTTAGCTACAGAAATAGTCATGTCTTCCATAGGAGGCTTGAGAGCTGTCCCTGCTTCCTCACCAATGGTGGCTGTGCTTGTTCCGTGTTCTTAAAGGAAGAGACCCGTTTCCTAAAGTTCAGCAAAGGTCTAGAAATAAGCGTCGTGTGAAATTATGGTTTCTCACTTGACAGGTAACATGTAGTTTTGTTTACTGACTAACCTTGTACTGTGTGGGTTTGACGTCTTAATTGCAGTTCAACAGAGTATAGCAGAATTCAACTCAAACCCTGCTCTCTTTGTTCCCAGTGTGCCCTGGGCCGGCTAGAGAAGGTAGGGTCCGCTGCTAGGTTTCATTCATACGCTGTTTTTTAAACATTCACCTAAAATCATGTATAACAAGCTTGTAGTAGAAAACAAAGTAAACACTTTTAATACAAGTAGCTGTGTTACCAATTCTTATGTTTCATTGCATTTTCTTACAGTTTTTAGACATTTCATTTATGAGTGAGGGTGTGCTTGAGTATGTGTGCGCGTGCGTGTAGAGACCAGAGATCACCTCAAGATGTGCTTGTTCTGCAGCTCAGGTCTCTCTGGGACCCGGGGCTCTCCAATCATGCTAGGCTTGCTGGCTAGTGAGCTCTGAGGGTCTGCTTGTTTCTCTCTCCAGACCTGAGATTACAAGTGTGCTGCCATGCTTTTTATGTGGATGCTGTGAGTCAAAGTGGGATCCTCATGCTTGCATAGCAAGCACTTCATAAACTCTGTTGTTTATGAAAAACAGAGTTTATGAAGCTTCTCTTGTAACCTTGAAAAAAAGCAACATGTCACAGTCATGTATGTGTGTGTGTGTGTGTGTGTGTGTGTATGTGTGTGTGTGTGCGTGTGTACGTGCATATACACATACATATCTATGTGTGTATATACATAGATTTATAACTTGTATTTAAACGTAGTTGAAATTTATTAATTCAGATTTATACAATCTCTGGGGTAGACACTGAGTGGACTGCTCTTATCCCAAAGGACCTTATTTAGTAGGGACATCATTGATAACCTTTTATTATGGTAAGTGTAGTAGGCCCTATACTTAGAGAGCTTCCTCCAAACCCTTCCTGTTTAGGGAACCTTCTGGGTGGGTTTCAGTGAACAAGCAAGGTTCGTTCATTCAGGATAGTAGGTGGAGCATGTATCACCTCTGTGCTCTGGCTTAACCTATGGGGGGCATGGCAGGCGCCTATCTTTCAGAAGAGAAAGGGTGATGGAACTTAAGGCTGGAGGGCCCCATGTAGAGAGAGGTTGTCCCCTCTGAAGAGTATAGATTTGATTCCTGGATGGAGGGCAGTCTTTGAAAGATTTTAAGTGGAGGATTGTTCCTTTTGTTGTTCGTTTTGCTTTTGGAAAGCTCCTTCTTTTCCCTGTCTCTTTCTCTTTTAAGATGGGGTCTCATGTGTCCCAGGTTAGCCATAAACTCCTTGTAATGGAGGATAACCTTGAATTTCTGATCGTTTTTGCCTTCCCGCTCAACTGAGTGTTGAGATAATAGGTGTGCTGCATCACACCCTACCCAGTGAATGCTGGGATGGGGATCGAAGCCAGAGTTCTGTGCATGCTGGACAGGCACTGGACCAGCTGAGGCAGGACCCCAGACTGAGAGCTTTCTGATGACATTAGTTAGTAAGGGCCAAGGGCAGTCACTTTAGACAAGGTATCTTCCGGGTTGTGGGTTTATAGACCTATGACACCATGTCTGTTGTTTTTTAGTGTGTGTTCTAGGGATCCAACTCAGGCCCTCATGCTTGCCCAGCAAGCCCTTGGCACACTGCGCCGTTTCCCTCCTTCAGTTTTGCAGTTCTGGAACTCATGCAGGTTAGGTAAGTCTTTACGACTGAGCCACATGAAAGGGCCCAATAACTCTTCTCAGTATACCTTCCAAGTGGTTGTGAAAACACTTGTAGAAGTGGTCTTGGAAGAGGTGGTCCCTCAGTCTTCATTTTCTAAGCTGTAGACTGAGGAGACAGCACTGACTTTATAGGGTTGTCATAAGAATGAACTAAGGTGAATTTTTAAGCAGCCACTGTCACCTATGGAGTCTGAGATGCGCAGATGCTCAGCCAGGTACTTGCCCGTGCTGGCTTGATAAGACCAGGTTCTGGTTCTTGTGTTCCTGCCCTGTAACAGTGGCATTGGTATCCTTTATTTAAGGATTTGGTTGTTTTATTTCATTTTATCTTGTGTGTGTGTGTCTGTCTGTCTGTCTGTCTCTGTGGGCATATGTGTCTGTGTGATTTCATGTGTGTCTGCATGATGTGTGTGGTCTGTATTTATGTGTACATGGTATGTGTATGATGTGCATGAATGATGTGTATGAGTATCTGTGAGTGTGCATTGTGTATGTGTTTGTGTGTATAAATATGTATGTCTATGTGATGTGTGTGTATATGATGTGTGTGTGTCTATGATGTGTGAATGATGTATGTGTGTGTGCATATGGTGTGTGTATGGTGTATGTGTGTCTGTATATTTGGTGTGTATGGTGTGTGTATTCACTGTGCATGATGTATGTGGATGATGTGTATGTGCATGTTACGTGTATGTCTGTGTAGTGTTTTTGTGTGATATGTATGTGGATGATGTGTGTATAGTGTATGTGCTTGGTATGTGTGTGGGTGGGGTGTGTGTGATATGTATGGTACATTATGTTCATACCACACATGGTAAACATGAAGAATTTGTGAGAAGAACCTCCTGGCGAAGTTCCTCTTAAACATGGGTTGCTGGAATTGAACTCGGATGGATTTCTAGGCAAGGGTTTAACCTGCTGAGCCACTTTCTGGCCTTCTGTAAGAACTCTACTTGGAGGGTTTTCTGAATCACTGTTTTTCCTTTGTCTGTCTTATCTTTTCTTCAGATTTTGCCCTGGGATTCATTCTGTTTGAGGAGGGCTGTGTGCACAGAATGTGTTTTCAATTACTCCTGTGGAAGGCTCTGGAGTTTAGCTCTGAGTTTGATAGTTTTTTTCTTTAGGTAGATTTTGGCACAAACGAATCTCCTTTGCCTGGAGGAGATTATGATTTCTACATAGTTTTCTTACATCTGGTGTAATAATCTTAATGTCACAGTCACTGGAAACTTGACATCAGAGGAATGCCATCTTCACAGTGTAAAGTGATTCTGTTCATGTTCATTCTCTTCTTGGATGTTCACATTGGGTGTGATGGAATGTTCTACCCGGCATGCAGGAATGTCATGGTGGCACTGCATAAAATACACGAACAAATAAAGAAGTATTTGTCCACTCAGTCAGTCTGAGATTTGAACTGTCACTTCATAGAGCAAAGAAGTTAGGGCCTCAAGAGCTGAGTCCAGATGTGGGCTCATTTGTTGTTCTGGGTGTTTCTGCTTTCAAGGGAGGGTTAACTGTGTTCTCATTTGGGGGAGGGTGTTACCGAGAACTGAGTTCTGCAGTGTGTATGTGGAATGTTTTTGCTCACTAGGAATTTCGTTTGGGTTGGAAGGACCATGAAGAATGGAGAATGAGATGGCTGGAGAGTTTATACTGAGCTAGGCTGTGTCCTGGGAGAAGGATGGGGGTGCAGATCAAGCAAAGAAGAGTTCGCTTGGCTGTAGTTGGAGTCATGGTGGCCGGAGCTTGAGGCTGCTGGTCATGTTGTGTCT